TACCTACTACCTACTACCTACTACCTACTACCTACTACCTACTACCTACTACGACTACTACTACTACTACTACTACTACTACTACTACTACTACTACTACTACTACTACTACTACTACTACTTCCACTTCTACTACTATTAGTGATGCGCCCTGCTCTTCTTCGTCTTCTTCTACATACTCCGTCTCGTCTACTGTTCCTACCCAAAAATGTGTTTACAACGTGCAAATTACTTGAAACTTTTAGCTACGATTACAACTGTGGCAGTACCCTGTCTGTTACTTGCGCCAATGCACTTACTACTATCGTTACTACCCCAAGACCCTCAACGCAAAATCTAAAACCCCAAGCCCCCAGAGCTCGAAACCTAAAACCCCAAATCCCGAGACCCCAAACCGTAACAATTCAAAAACCCGCAAATCCCCATTGCTAAACCCCGGCCCAGTATCTCATAGTCCCTGGGGGGCTCCACACTTTGCTGCACAGAGTGATGCAGGCAATCTAACCCTCGGTCAAAGGCGAAGGAATGAATCGGGCTGAATTAGGGCTTAAGGTTTAAAGTTTAGATTCCAAGGCTTAGGGCTTTAGGGTAGATCGCACAGACTGTGGCATCCTCGAATTTCGCAGTTGGTGTTAAAGTGTTAATCTCGCTGTTTTGTTTGTTGGCTCGTCCGGGCGTAACTGCTCTTGTGTGCTTAATGGCGGTTCTGTTCTTAAGCTGGTTGTTCGCTCATGGTGCATCCGGGCTTAAGTGTTCTCACGTGGTTCATGTTATGCTCATTCGGGTGTAAGTGCTCTCGCAATGTTTTCTGTGTTTTTTTTTCGCCCGGGAGACATGCGCTCAACCCAAACCCGGAAATTGAAGCCTAAACCCTCTCTCTCTCTGTCGCTCGCTAGTCCTTCTTCACAGGTGCTTGCTCTGGCTCTTGCTCTTGCTCTTGCTCTCGCTCTCGCTCTCGCTCTCGCTCTCGCTCTCGCTCTCGCTCTCGCTCTCGCTCTCGCTCTCGCTCTCGCTCTCGCTCTCACTCTCGCTCTCGCTCTCGCTCTCGCTCTCGCTCCCTCTCCCTCTCGCTCTCTCTCTCTCTCTCTCTCTCTCTCTCTCTCTCTCTCTGTCTCTCTCTCGCTCTCTGTGTCTCTGCGTCTGCCGCCGTCTCGGTCCCCGGTCCATCTGGGTCCCTGTGACAGTGTCTGTTTCCCTTTGATCTCTATGTCTGCGGCGATGTCGTCGGCTCTCAGATGAGACACGGAAGCAAGACACTATGTGCAGTCGGACTGCTCTGCAAGAATCGACTGAGCGAAAAGTTCCTGCAAAACGTCGTCTGGCCGTGCCTCAGTTGTCAGAAGCCATGTAGCTTGCCACAACAAACCCAGACTGCAGAAGAAAGAAAACTCTGAGACTTTCCAAGTCTTCACTTTTACGGCCGGGCCAAACTTTCCGGACTGAGATTCCCAATCCCAAAGAACAA